TGACGACACTGAGGAAGTTAGGGAGAAATTGATAAAAGAGGCGTATGAAAAAATTAAATGGTTTGAGGATTCATATCCAAGTGATATGAATGCCGAAAGAGGAAGGTTGAAAGAGGAATGGGAGGATTATATAAGCAAAATGGAAGCTTGGGAGGATTACATAAGTAGAATGGAAACATTCGAACCCTACGAATCAGAAGAGGAATGGTAAAATATAAATTTAAATAAGAATATTTAGTATAAGATATTAAGAAATTAATATTAAGAAATAAATTCTTAATTAATTCTCAAAAATAATGCATAAATACTAACCAAATACTAATACTAATACTAACCAATATAAATATATGTAAAAAAAAAAAATATAAAAAAAAATGTAACACTAATCTATTTAAACTAACACTAAATTAATTAATCATATTTGTAATATTTCCTATACGGAAATAATAGTATATTAATCATATTTTATTGTAATATTTCCTATGCGGAAATAATAATTATATTAATCACATTATTGTAACCATTATATTTTATCACATATTATTTGTAATATTATTATATTGTAGAAATTGTAAGTCCATTAAAAAAAAAAAAAAACCATTGTCAAAATTATAAATCCGTAACAACATCTTTATATTGTAACAATCCCAATAACATAAGAATCATTGTAATAATTGTAAAATTGTAAAACTCTGTAATCATTGTAATAATTGTAAAATTGTAAAACTCTGTAATCATTGTAAAATTGTAATTCGAACCAATTGTAAAATCATAACTATAGGAATTAATTTCTGTTTTGCAAACATAAATTAATTTTTAGGTGGGGAGGTGTCGCGTATTGCGTAGTCACATAATATAAAAACACACATTATAAGAGGTTCTCATGAACATCGAAACTGGGCGTGTGAATAGGTTAAATCGTTCACATGGTTATCTGTTTAGGTAAGAATATGAATATTGGAGTCACAGATACGTGGGTGGTTGACCACATCCTGTGTCCCTGCATCAGTAATTATGTAATACACACACGTGCAAAATCAATAAGAAATTATCATATTTTATTATCATTAACGCACACACACACTCACAATTTATAGGAATTATCTTATTTTATTATCTTGTTCATTTACTCACACACACTTGGGATTTTACATACACACATACAATATCACATATAAAAGGGACCCGAAAACAAGGGCAAATCAGACGAGTCTTGTCTATGCTGCACTGAGCACCTTCACGTCAGTGTATGTTATGGTCTGGACTTAGAAATATTTCAAATTATTTTATAAGTTACAATTGTTAGGACTTAGATAATTTCTATCACTAGAATATTTACAAAATTTGTAGTTAGAATAATTTTTATAAGTTAAATAAATTTAATTATTTTAAAAAGAAGTCTTAATTATTCCTGACTACACTTCCACACAAGCGTTGACTGAGACGTTGTAACTGAGTTAACGGATCAAACGGTTGGCACGTAACAGGTCCAAGGTACATTCGAGTTATATTTTTATTAATTGTTGTTTTGGC